AAGATGAATTAACATCTCGACGCCTAAGATAAATTAAATATCTCAACGTCCAAGACGAATTTAATACCTCCACACCTAAGATGAATTAACATCTCGATGCTTAAGAAGAATTAACTATCTCGGCGTCCAAGACGAATTTAATAGCTCGATGCCTAAGATGAATTAACATCTCGATGCCTAAGATAATTTGGTAAACTGCTCAAAAATCTCAACGACTTAATCCATATGAAGTTTCAAACAAAGGTAGTAACTCGATCTTAGGATCATCCTATGGAAATTATCTTGAGGACTAAATGACAATTGTAACTGACGTTCCTTGATAATGATATAGGGAAAGACTTGACTTGGCGGACAAGAAGCTCGACCTTAACTTTGGGCCCTTATCCCGAGGCTTTGGTTAAGCATATCGAGTATAGATCGGATGCTCAAACGCAACAAGCTCGAGCTTATTACCTTTAACGACTGATCCTTGTTCTCTCGCTTCTGAGGTATAGGGTAGTCCCAACCTATGATGAGTGATCCCCGAGCTATATCCTCGAGGACACTTCGGGCTTTTTCACCATTTTTATCACCAACATGCTTGGAATTCTATGTGCTTGAGAATTTACTTTGGATTTGTCTGCCCTGATTGGTATCTCATATGTGTTTGCTCGGGGCAAGGCTTGAGTTGCTTGCGTGGGGGCAAGGCTTTGATTTTCTAGTGCGGGGCAAGGTCTTGAGTTGCTTGCGCGGGGCAAGACTTTGATTTGCTTGTGCGGGGCAAGGTTTTGATTTGCTTGCTCGGGACAAGGCTTGAGTTGCTTGTGTGGGGCAAGGCTTAGATTTGCTAGCGTGGGGCGAGGCTTTTGTTTGTGGATCATCGAATTTAACTTTAATTGTAATATATTCTATTAATTGTCTTGGCATTCAGGCCTTATTGAAAAAGATTGACTTGGCACGTAGGTCGAAAAATAAACTTGGCACGAAGGCTTTATTGAAGAAAAAATTGACTTGGCACGTAGACTTTATTGAAGAAAAAATTGACTTAGCACGTAGGCCTTATTTCTAAAACATGGTGGAGCGGATTACTTGTAATATACTTTTAAGTTATCGACGTTCCATGACTTTGGGAGTGGTCTTCCCGAAGTGTCCCTCAAGTTGTATGTACCTCCTGGGAGCTGTCGTATGACTTCAAAATGTCCTTCCTAAACTGGTTCGAGTTTTTCAAGAGTATGACCAGCAGCTTCAACCTTTCTCAACACCAAATCTCTAGTTCTGAATCTTTACGACCTTACTCTTCTATTGAAATACTTTGTTGTTCTATCTTGGTAAGAGACTATTCTTAAGGCTGCCTAGTCACGAACTTCTTCCAAGAGGTCGAGATGTTCAGTGGTGTGCCCTGCTTCTTCGAGATTAAGTCTTCTTTGGTGGGGTAATCTTATTTCAATGGGAATGGTAGCTTCGATTCCAAAAGCTACTATGAAGGGGGCCTCCCTGGTGGCAGTCCTATGGGATGTTCTATATGTCCAAAGTATGGAAGGCAATTGTCGGACTAAGAACCTCTTGCATCTCCTATCCATGTTTGGAGGTCTTGCAATATGATCCGATTGGTGACCTCGGCTAGGCCATTACTTTGGGATGAGAAACTGACAGGTGGTGGTCAACCCCTAGGTTGGAATAGAAATCCTTGAATTGTATATTGTCAAACTGCCGGCCATTATCAGTTATGAGGACCTTTGGTATCTCGAACCTGCATATGATGGACTTCCAAACAAAAGTTCTTATCTTAGGCTCTGAGATCGTTGCCAAGGGCTCGAACTCAACCCACTTCGTAAAGTACTCAACTGCTACAACTACAAACTTCAATTGTCCTATAGTTATTAGAAACGGGCCGAGGTTATCGATCCCCCATTGCTCAAACGGGGCTGAGCAACTGATGTTGGTGAGGTTCTCTACGGGGGAGCGGATAACGTTGCCAAACCTCTGGCACTTATCACATTTCTTCACATATTCCAAGGCATCCTTCTTCATGGTAGGCCAGTAATACTCGCACCTTATGAGTTTGAAGGCTAATGCTCGAGCTCCTTGGTGGTTCCCGCATATCCCTTCATGAACTTCCCATAGGGCTTGGGAGGATTTCGAATGCTTAAGGCACCTAAGGTATGAAAGTGTGAGGCTTCTGCGAAACAAGACCCCATCAATAATGCAATATCTTGGAGCTTTTGACCGGATGCTCCTTGATGCCCGAGGGTCTTCTGGAATATTGCCATTTGTTATGAAGTCTACAATTGGGTCCATCCATGACGGCTCGTGATTAATGTCCATGACCCCAATGGTTGAATTGATACTAGGCTCGGTCACAAATCTGACATGTATTGTTCTATCAAGTCCATCTACTCCCATGAACACCAGCCTTGATAAGGCATCTGCCTTGCAATTGTCGGGCAATCTTCACAATTTCACACCTCTTTAATTTTCGTCGGAGATCATGAACTTTTAAGCAGTATAAGCTCATTTTCTCGTCTTTCTTCTCAAACATTCCATCAATCTGCCCCACTACCAGCTGGGAATCACTAAAAATTTTGATGTCTTCAAGTTCGAGATTAATGGCAAGTTCCATAGCTTTGATGACAGCCTCATACTTCGCCTCATTGTTGGTTGCCTCGAATTCGAACCTGAGTAAGATTAATGGCAAGTTCCATGGCTTTGATGACAGCCTCATACTTCGCCTCATTGTTGGTTGTCTCAAATTTGAACCTGAGTGCACATTGAATGTCCATGAGCATGTCCGGCGCCTGAGCCGGAGGAGTTTGATGCTCTATCCACGAGAATTTGCCAAACATCTATTGTAGTGCTCATGCCCTCTTCTGGACCCCGAGGATTTGGGGTGAGTTCTGCAATAAAGTCTGGTAAAGCTTGGGCTTTGATGGACGGACGGGGCTTGAACTCTATGTCAAACTCTCCAAGTTCAACTGCCCACTTTAGTAATCTGCTTGAGACGTCTGGCTTTTGAAGGATGTGTTTCAGAGGCTGATTGGTGAGCACAACAATGGGATGAGACTGAAAATATTGTCAAAGCTTTCATGATGCTACTATCAGGGCGAGGACAAGTTGCTCGGACAAAGTGTACCTTATCTCTGCATCAAGTAGGACTTTACTTATATAGTAAATGGGCTACTGGGCTCTGTTTACCTCTTTCACCAAGACACCGCTAACTGCATTCTGTTACACGACTAAGTACAAAAACAAAGGCCTCAATATTCTTCCTTATCAAATCAGCGAAGACTTTGTTGATGAGTCTCTGATATGTTGCCCCAGCATTTTTCAACCCGAATGACATCACCCTATAGTAATATATGGCTGAATCAGCCATGAATGAAGTCTTCTTTTGGTCTTTTCCGACCATAAGGATTTGATGATACTCTGAGAATGCATCTAAGAAGCTGTACAGCTTATGTCCGGATATGCTATCCACAAGATTGTCAATTCTAGGTAGCGGATAGCTGTCTTTAGGGCACGCCTTAGTGAGATCTGTGAAGTCGACGCAGACCCTCCATTTGTCACTGGTCTTCTTCACAAAAACAACATTAGCGAGCCAATCGGGGTATTGGACTTCCCTTATGAACCCCGCTCTCACCAATTTGCCGACCTCTTCCTGAATGATCACACGTCTTTCCGGCGCAAACTGCATCTTCCTTTGCTTAACAGGTTTGCCCCTGGGCTTATATTGAGTCTATGGACTACTACTTCAGGGTCTATCCCTGGCATATCCTCAACCTTCCATGCAAAAATATCGATGTTGTGGGACAGACAATTGACGACTTCCTCCCGGAGGCTGGCCTTGAGATCCAGACGATTAGTTATCATTTTTTCGTGCTCGAGCTCAACCACTTCCAATTCCTCAACCTGGGCAAGTCTACCTCTTAGCTCAAGCTCGAGCTTGAGGTCTGAAAGTTGCATGACGTCTGTACTCATTCCTCGGATGCTAGTAACATAGCACCGTCTGGCAGCTGTTTGGTCTCCTCGAACTACTTCGATGCCATGTCCTGTTAGGAACTTCATGGCCAGGTGGAAAGTTGATACGCTGGTTTGGATCTTGTTCAGCAGGGGTCTTCCCAAAATGATGTTGTAAGCCATAGGAGTGTTAACCACTTGGAAGGGTGTGATCTTTGTCACTTGGGCATTGTCAGAACCCAAAGTTAGCGGGAGCTCGACGATCCCTTCCAGGATAATGACTCCACCACCAAATCTCTGTAGAGGAGTTTTGACTGTTCTGAGCTGTTTGGGAGAGATCTCCATCTTAGCAAAAGCTTCCTGTGGCAGTATATTTGTTGCACTCCCCTTATTGATCAAAATCCTCTTTACTTCGAAGTTAGCCACAATTGCAGAGACCACCAAGGCATCGTCATGAGGATATGATACTCCTTCCAAATCTCTTGCTCCAAAGGTGATGTCTTTGAGTTTATCATGTGATAAACTTTGAGGTATGAGTATGCTGGCGAACATATTGCTTTCGCCCACTATTTGTGTCTCCTCCAGATGCTATGCCTCCAATGATAATATTAATGGTCCCGACAGTGGGTTGAACACTGCTTCCAGTTCCAGGCTCTTTCCGATTGTCACGGTCATTCTTCGGGCGTTTATAATGACCAATGTAATTCCTTAAGAGTCTTCTTTTAATGAGAGCTTCAATTTCTCGCAACAAAGCTTGACAATCCTCCGTGGTATGCCCATGATCTCGGTGAGATTCACAATACTTGCTCCTATCTCTTGAGTTAGGAGGCGACTTCATTCTTGAAAGCCACTTTAATTCTTTCATATCTTTGATCTCCATTAAGATATTTGCCTTGGAGGTGTTTAATTCGGGTAAGGGGCCTTTGTGGACCTTCATTCTTGCGCTTTTCCCGAGGATACTCTGGCCGAAAAACGAGATCATGTTGCTTCTTGTTCTCGGCCTTTTCATGGGGAGGACCAGGTCTCCTTGGATTCAGTGTTTCTTCCATATTAATGTATTTTTCAGCTTAGGTGAGGAGCTCGGTCACTGTCTGCGGTGGGGTCTTTGATAAGGACATCTTGAAAGCTTCACATCTTATGGCGTAAGTGAGGGCGAAGACAATCGCTGTGATGTGAAGGTCGGGTAGTTGAAACATTTCTTTGTCAAACCTTGTCATAAATCCTAGTAGGGTTTCACTTAGTCCCTGGCGAAGTTGCATGAGAGAGGCCGCAGTCTTTCTGATTCCCATTCTACTTGCAAAGAAGGCTGAGAACTTATCGGCCAAATCTGAGAATGAGGCTATGGAGTTAAGCTCCAATGTCGAGAACCAATCCCTAGCAGCATTAGTCAGCGTTTGCGGGAAGGCTTTGCACATAACCTAATCCGGCGCAACTTGCAAATTCATGACATCAGTATATACATTGAGATGGTTGATTGGGTCGGTTGTCCCATCATACTCTTTAATGCGAGGATATTTGAATCTTTCGGACTAGGAATATGACAATATCTTTGACATGAATGGAGTGTTAGGGATAAAACTCGTTGGCCTCCGAGCATTCCATTGCAGGCCAGCTATAATTCCTTCTTGAATGTTCTGGACAATCTCACAAGAATCCATGGTGACCGATCTCGAGCTCGAGGTCATATTGCGAATACCTGAGGTTCCTACTCTGCTAGTTACGAGGTTTGGTGGTCGTGCTCGAGCATCAGCCATAAAACTTCCATGCTCTGTCTGCGCTGGTGACGGATGTGAATTTCTTTAACTTAACAGTTGCGTGAGCATGGCCACCTGCTGATGGAGCTCTTCAAAGGCTTTCGTTATGATAACCACCGGCAGAGGTGCGGGCACTCCTGACGACTTTTCTTGAGGAGTCGGTTGATCTTCAGTAGGACGAGGGATGGGAGCGGATGAGCTTGCGGGAAGAAGACCTGATCGCGTTTTAACCATGGCTTTTGGTAGCGTTTCCCACAGACGGCGCCAATGATGCTACCAAAAATCGTACCTGTTGATTTTTCGAGCTTGAAGATTTTGAATGAGCACGATCGTAGTCTTCCAGTACCTGAAACAAATGCAACAAGGTATATTTTCGTTGTCCCTCTGATACTTAAGTCAGAAAGGGAATTATATGCTTGATGCTATAAATTGAAGAATAATGAGAACGTTCCTGAATAATGACCCATGGTTCTATATTTATAGTGGTGGGTGGCATTCTTCTAGTAGGACTCAACTATCTAGGAATCCTTATCCGATATAGTTCCATGAGGAAACATCGTTTGAATCCTACTATGATTAGAAGACCGATTATTAAGAGGACTCTCTTGGATTTAGGAGATGTGGTTTGAGGTATTCGTGTCAGATAAGAGTTCTCAGAGGATAGACATTCTCCTTAGCACGAGGAAGATGGTAGCTGAGGATCTCAAGCCATTTTCCCGAGGTCTTATTCCCTAGGACATCCCTAAATTCTGTGATAGTTGGTTGAACTGTAAGGGTCGGGCTTAGGATGTCCCGAGGACTTAATGAATCCCGAGCACTATTTATCGGGTAACGTAAAAGTAGGTCACCTGCAGTCATCGGGGGTAATATCATGCTCGGGTTATATAGGAAATGTCAGTATCAAGGGGTTATTTACAAACCTTTAATTAGAAATTATGGTTGCAAGGCCCACCCTAGATTTCCGGGGGTCCCAATTGGATTAAAATCTTGTTAAAATCTCCTTGTGATGGGGTCTTATTAAAATTGTAGAAACTAATTACACGTCGAGAAAAAGCATATTATACAAAAATGTGGCTACGACCATCACAATACAATTTCCACACTCTCACTCACCATTTTAACCTTTACTTCCTCAATTCTCAAGTGATGGCTGCTACACAGGAGGAAGTTCATGTTTGGTTCATTCTCCTGTTGAGGAAATAGATAGAAATGAAAGATTTGAAATGCACAAGTGTGTGTGGGTGGGGTTGTTTCACCACTGTGGGTGAGTTGATTGGTTGTTGGTATGTGTGGATGGCTGAGAAATGAACTAAAATCAATTTGTTTTTGTTCTCTATGAATTTTCTTTTGTTTTTATGTTGTTAAATTAAAGGCGTGAAGGTATTGATCAAATAATGGCAAAAATTACAATTTCTGTCACAAAATGACGTCGACCACATTTATTTTGTTATATAACTTCATTATATACAAATACTTCATTATATACAAATAGAATTATTGTTGCACAACTTTTAACATTTTTCCTTGCAAAAGAACCTTAAACACAGACTTTTGTAATGCTTGTGACCCGGGTGCTACAAATCAAGGTTTCAGGACCCTATTAATATAACATTCAAAGATTCGGGACCCAGGTGAAATTTAGCCCTTATTTTTATGGCATTCGGAGCCCATCGATTTAGACTCATTTTCGATCGCCGCCTTGGCTTATCTCTCTACAAACGCCATCGTGCTCTCTCTCTCTCTGGAAGCAACGTCGCCGCTTCTCCCAATCTTTATCTGCTGCAATCTGATACATTCGTCGGTAAGACCTTTCTAAAGAATTACACAAGAATTGCTAGAGATAAAAGGGAAAAGTGATAATACTCTATTTTATTGGTAACTTACCTCCGTCCTTTTTTGTTCGTGTTCCGCGGTTACGTTTCTCAATTGTTAAAAAACAAAAAGTGAGGTGCTGTAATTGGTTACACACTGTTTTGGGGTTTAGATTTGGTATTAATTACCAGATCTGGGTTTGGATTCAACAGTAAAAATATCTGTTCTTGCTGCGTGGTCTAGGGTTTTTTTCTATTCAAAAATTGGGGGTCTGATTTTTCTGAGTTGGGTTTTGGGTTTTTGATAGAAAACCCCATTCTAGGCGATTAGTCTGATTGCATAAGGGTTGTATTTGTTATATTTAAAGGAACACGAGCACCCTTATATATATGGCAGCTGGAAGACATGGGGGTTACAGAGACAATGAATTCAGGGACCGAGAGACGGATTTAGGGATGTCAAGGAAGGAGGTTGGGCATCTGAAAGGTGATTTTGAGCTGATCAGGGAAGATGATCCAGATTACGGGGTTGGTCTGCATCGAGTTCTAGAAAGTAGGGATTTCAGGGGTAGGGTCAGGCAGAAGGATATTAAGGAACGGGAGGCAATGAATGGTGGATATCACTCTACTTCAAGTCGGAGTCAATCGGGTAGTAGTGATGGTGGTCCGAGGAGATGCGGGTTAGCGGTTCAGGCCATGGACCGAGAGCCTGGGGAGCTGTCTAGTGATGGGTCTGATGGGGCAATTGATTCAGAAATGCGGTCTAATAAAGAGTTTGAGGCTAAGAAGTTAGAAAATGGAAATCACTCCTTCCCCTTGGAGAATAAGAAACGTAAGTTTTCACCAATTGTTTGGGATATAGATGATAGGGAAGTAAGCCGAACAGTCAAGAATCAGAATATCACTGAAACCACTAATTTACCACCTCCGCCTCCTTTACCCAAGTTTTACAACCAGTCACCTAAAAATATCTGTGATGGGGATGTGGAGATTTTACCTAGAGATGACAGTAAGATTCGGAGTTTGGAATCATCATCTCCTAATATTGACTCGCTGACTGAATTGTTGAAATTCCCTGCTGAAAATTCTTCTCCGCCCCCCGAGGAACAGCCCCAGAATAATGACCGAGGAGCAGGGGCATTAGATGATGATGATTATGTGCCTACTCGAACCATAATATCCTCTCGATGGGCAAATGATGCGGACTCCTCGGCAGATGAAGGTGAGATTTCTGAGAATGAAGATATTAAGAGAGTGAAGACAAGGAAGTACGAGTCTGAAGCTGCTGAAGTAAGAGGACATAGGAAATCAATAAGTCCGGAGCTTGGGGAAGTTAAAAGAGAAGGTTCTGAACGAACTAGGGGAAGGTCCTTTGGATCTGAGGAGCGTGTTAGGTCTTCCAGTAGAGATAGTTACCCTGAAAGTGATGGTAAAAATGACTACATGGAGATAGATGAGGATCACAATTTTGATGGTACTAGTGTTAGCCATTCTGATACGGAATCTGAGGATGAGCATGGTTATCGGGGGGCACCAGAGCCTGTACTGCCTCCACATAGGACTGTGAATATGCTTCAAGGATGCAGAAGTGTTGATGAGTTTGAGAGACTAAACAAGATAGATGAAGGCACTTATGGGGTCGTCTATAGAGCCATGGATAAGAAGACTGGAGAAATTGTTGCACTGAAGAAGGTCAAGATGGAGAAAGAAAGGGAAGGGTTTCCTTTGACTTCTCTCCGGGAAATAAACATTCTTCTGTCATTTCACCATAGCTCAATTGTGGATGTTAAAGAAGTAGTTGTGGGGAGCAATCTTGACAGCATTTTTATGGTTATGGAGTACATGGAGCATGATCTTAAGGCTTTGATGGAAACAATGAAACAACCGTTCAGTCAAAGTGAAGTTAAATGCCTTATGCTCCAGCTATTAGAGGGTGTAAAGTATCTTCATGATAACTGGGTGCTTCACCGGGACTTGAAAACTTCAAATTTGCTTTTAAATAACCGCGGTGAGTTGAAGATATGTGATTTTGGACTGGCTCGTCAGTATGGGAGCCCACTAAAGCCATATACTCATTTGGTTGTTACTTTATGGTACCGGTGAGCATCATTCTATATGGATCTTTTATCCTTAAAAACATTGCTCTATGTTTTGGTCTAATTTTTCCTATATCTATTTGTTTACAATGGTATGTTTTGTCAGTATCATTTTTACTTGTATAATGGAGGAGATATGTATTTTGGAGTTACAATCATTTTAATTATTGATGCCGTTGTCCTTCGGTTCTATTCATTGGCAAGAGTAGTGTGTCTGAGCATTTATTTTGTACATACCTATTATATGTTCTCTGGTTAAAGAATTAATTTACTTGCAGGGCGCCGGAACTTCTTATGGGAGCCAAACAGTACTCTACAGCTATTGATATGTGGTCCCTGGGATGTATTATGGCTGAACTGTTATCAAAAGAGCCATTGTTCAATGGGAAAACAGAGTTTGACCAGCTCGACAAGGTACATATTTCAGTAGGTTAATTTAGATTAATTAATCATTACTTGCGGAGTCGTCAATATTTTAATTGAGTCTTATTTTATGTGGCCTGATTAGTTTCTTTCTGGATGTTCATACAGATTTTCAGAATCCTTGGCACACCGAATGAGACAATTTGGCCTGGCTTTTCCAAACTTCCTGGTGTCAAGGTCAACTTCGTCAAGCATCAGTGAGTATTTTATACCGTATACTCAATTTTGTTGCAGTTGACTTAAAAAATTTATGTTTTCTCCTTTTTGCCACTGTTTTCCCAGGCTTCCAGCTTTGGGTGATTCTGGTCTGGCTTTCTGGCCTTTGTTGGTGACAGTTTAAATTACTACTAAAATGCCATGTTTCTACTAACTAGTGATATATTCCTTTCAGGTACAATCTATTGCGTAGGAAATTTCCAGCTACATCTTTTACTGGGTCACCAGTACTTTCTGATGCTGGATTTGACCTGTTGAACAAGCTTCTAACTTATGACCCTGATAAGGTATTTTATACCTATAAAAATACCCAACCAAATCTTTTGATAATTGAATATCCTTTCTTCACAATTGCTAACTTTCTGTTGGCTAACTCTGCAGCGGATAACTGCTGAAGCAGCTCTGAACCATGAATGGTTCCGTGAAGTTCCACTTCCCAAGTCAAAGGAGTTCATGCCTACTTTTCCAGCTCAACATGCACAAGACAGGTATAGGTGTCCTGTCAGTGTGAGTTTCATGTAAATTCCGTGAGTTGTTTATGTTAAATTTGTTTGTTTTTGATGGATTTTCAGGCGTACGCGTAGACTAATGAAGAGTCCTGATCCGTTAGAAGAGCAGCGGAGGAAGGAGTTGCAACAAGGAGAACTTGGCACTGGTGGTTTGTTTGGCCAATAACTTCCGAGTATTTGTTCTTTGGTTATCTTGTAATATCTGAGACATACATGGTTAAGGTGAGAACTATGGATTGGAAGGAAGTTGCAAACATTGGTTGTGAGACGATTGCTCGTGCTGTTATTTAGGAAGCACACCTGATGAATTAGGTGGACACGATTCTCTTGTCTTTGCACATGTGAATTGCATATGGTGCAGGTTGATTTGTCTTCTTGGCCTTTGCTGTCCGAGGGCAATCCATCTTTGGTACTGCTTTCAAGCAAGGTGTGGCATAAGGCACTTCCAGTTATGGGACTGTTTCAGTTTGAACTCGTGTATGTAACATATTTTATATTGGTCACTGTAAACAATTTTCTTAAAATTGTTTAAATACCAGAACAGTACGGTTTACTTTGGAACTCTTAGTGCTATTGTTTTTTAATTCTCATATTGTGTTTGCAAGAGATGGTGATGTAAAGCGGGGAGGGGGCAATCTTAGCCTTTCATGTCGAAGAATTTGACAGAAAGAATTGCACTCTGAAGGTAATTAACAAATCTGAATGCATGGATGTAATGAAGAATTCGGAATTTGCTGTGTCTACATTGAAAGGCTATTCCCTTAGATCTTGACTGGGTCTTTAGTTCCATGGGTTACAAATGCATTTTACTGATTTTATTATTATTATCATTTTTACCACGTGGTCATGCGATATCTTTGTAGTCTGGAGCAGCAATTTGTTTTATTCTTATGCAAAATGCTGTTCAGCTCCATGTGGTTTTTCTTTGTTGCTCTTTCATGTATTTGTTGTCAAGTGTAGCATTTGGAAATGGAGCCTTAATCAATGTGTTAATTTGATTTCTGAATACAACCTCTGATGGATTTTTTTCCTTTTTTTCTATACAATAACTCTTTTAGAGTACATATTGATCCTTTCGAAACTTGAATGGCACCCAGAGTGCAAGATGCAGTAATAACATCTGATGAGATATTTTATTCCAGTGCTTTCCTTTGCTTAACAGGTTTGGCCCCTGGGCTTATGTTGAGCCTATGGACTGCTACTTTGGGGTCTATCCCTGGCATATCCTCAACCTTCCATGCAAAAACATCAATGTTGCGGGACAGGTAATTGATGACTTCCTCTTGGAGGCTAGCCTTGAGATCCTGACCAATAGTTACCGTTTTTCTATACTCGAGCTCGACCACTTCCAATTCCTCAATCGGGGCAAGTCTACCTCTTAGCTTGAGCTCAGCTTGAGGTCTGAAAGTTGCAAGATGTTTGTACTCATTCCTCGGATGCTAGTAACATAGCACTGTCTAGCAGCTGTTTGGTCTCCTTGAACTACTCCGATGCCATGACCTATGGGGAACTTCATGGCGAGGTGGAAAGTTGACACAATAGCCTAGATCTTGTTCAGTAGGGGTCTTCCCAGAATGATGTTGTAGGCCATTGGGGCATTAACCACTTGGAATGGTGTGATCTCCGTCACTTGTGTACTACCAGCTCCTAACGTAAGCGGGAGCTCGACAATGCCTTCAGGGATAATGACTCCACCACCAAATCCTTGTAGGGGAGTTTTTACTGCTTTGAGCTGTTTGGGAGAGATTCCCTTTTTGGTGAAAGCCTCCTGCGACAGTATGTTCGATGCACTCCCATTATCAACCAGAATCCTCCTTACTTCGAAGTTTGCCACAACCGCAAAGACAACCAAGGCATCGTCATCAGGATGTGATATTCCTTCCAAATCTCTTGCTCCGAAAGTGATGTATTTGACTTCATCACGGGATTCTCTTGGGGTATGAGCATGTTGGTGGGCATACTGCTTTCGCCCACTACTTGTGTCTCCGCCGGATGCTATGCCCCCAACGATAATATTAATGGTTCCGACAGTGGGTTGAGCACTGCTTCCAGCCCCAGGCTCTTTCTGATTGTCCCGGTCATTCCTTGGCCGTTTATCATGACCAATGTAATTTTTTAAAAATCCTCTTTTAATGAGAGCTTTGATTTCCCGCTGCAAAGCTTGACAATCTTCCATGGTATGCCCATGATCCCGATGAAATTCACAATATTTGCTCCTATCTCTTGTGTCAGGGGGGGACTTTATCCTCGAAGGCCTCTTTAATTCTTTCATATCCTTAATCGCCATCAAGATATTGGTTTTAGAGGTGTTCAACCGAGTTAAAGATGCTGAGGGCGCCTCATTTCTTCGCTTTCTCGAGGATGCTCATGTTGGGGAACGGGATCATGTTGCCTCTTGTTTTCGACCTTTTCATGAGGAGGACCCGCTCTCCTTGGATTTAACGTCTCCTTCATATTGATGTACTTTTCAGCTTGGTTAAGGAGCTCAGTTATTGTCTGTGGTGGGGTCTTTGATAAAGATATTTTGAAGACCTCACACCTTATGGCATAGGTGAGGGCAAAAATTGCTGCTGTAATGTGGAGGTCGGGTATTTGAAGTCTTTCCTTGTTAAATCTTGTCATAAAACCTCGTAGGGTTTCATTTGGCCCCTAGCGTAGTTGCATGAGGGAGGCTGCGGTTCTCCTGATTCGTTTTCTACTCGCAAAGAAGGCTGAGAACTTATCAGCGAAATCTGAGAATGAGGCTATGGAGTTGAGCTCCAATGTCGAGAACCAATCCCTAGCAGCATTAGTCAGCGTTTGCGGGAAGGCTTTGCACATAACCTAATCCGGTGCAACTTGCAAATTCATGACATCAGTATATACATTGAGATGGTTGATTGGGTCGGTTGTCCCATCATACTCTTTAATGCGAGGATATTTGAATCTTTCGGACTAGGAATATGACAATATCTTTGACATGAATGGAGTGTTAGGGATAAAACTCGTTGGCCTCCGAGCATTCCATTACAGGCCAGCTATAATTCCTTCTTGAATGTTCTGGACAATCTCACAAGAATCCATGGCGACCGATCTCGAGCTCGAGGTCATATTGCGAATACCTGAGGTTCCTACTCTGCTAGTTACGAGGTTTGGTGGTCGTGCTCGAGCATCAGCCATAAAACTTCCATGCTCTGTCTGCGCTGGTGACGGATGTGAATTTCTTTAACTTAACAGTTGCGTGAGCATGGCCACCTGCTGATGGAGCTCTTCAAAGGCTTTCGTTATGATAACCACCGGCAGAGGTGCGGGCACTCCTGACGACTTTTCTTGAGGAGTCGGTTGATCTTCAGTAGGACGAGGGATGGGAGCGGATGAGCTTGCGGGAAGAAGACCTGATCGCGTTTTAACCATGGCTTTTGGTAGCGTTTCCCACAGACGGCGCCAATGATGCTACCAAAAATCGTACCTGTTGATTTTTCGAGCTTGAAGATTTTGAATGAGCACGATCGTAGTCTTCCAGTACCTGAAACAAAGGCAACAAGGTATATTTTCGTTGTCCCTCTGATACTTAAGTCAGAAAGGGAATTATATGCTTGATGCTATAAATTGAAGAATAATGAGAACGTTCCTGAATAATGACCCATGGTTCTATATTTATAGTGGTGGGTGGCATTCTTCTAGTAGGACTCAACTATCTAGGAATCCTTATCCGATATAGTTCCATGAGGAAACATCGTTTGAATCCTACTATGATTAGAAGACCGATTATTAAGAGGACTCTCTTGGATTTAGGAGATGTGGTTTGAGGTATTCGTGTCAGATAAGAGTTCTCAGGGGATAGACATTCTCCTTAGCACGAGGAAGATGGTAGCTGAGGATCTCAAGCCATTTTCCCGAGGTCTTATTCCCTAGGACATCCCTAAATTCTGTGATAGTTGGTTGAACTGTAAGGGTCGGGCTTAGGATGTCCCGAGGACTTAATGAATCCCGAGCACTATTTATCGGGTAACGTAAAAGTAGGTCACCTGCAGTCATCGGGGGTAATATCATGCTCGGGTTATATAGGAAATGTCAGTATCAAGGGGTTATTTACAAACCTTTAATTAGAAATTATGGTTGCAAGGCCCACCCTAGATTTCCGGGGGTCCCAATTGGATTAAAATCTTGTTAAAATCTCCTTGTGATGGGGTCTTATTAAAATTGTAGAAACTAATTACACGTCGAGAAAAAGCATATTATACAAAAATGTGGCTACGACCATCACAATACAATTTCCACACTCTCACTCACCATTTTAACCTTTACTTCCTCAATTCTCAAGTGATGGCTGCTACACAGGAGGAAGTTCATGTTTGGTTCATTCTCCTGTTGAGGAAATAGATAGAAATGAAAGATTTGAAATGCACAAGTGTGTGTGGGTGGGGTTGTTTCACCACTGTGGGTGAGTTGATTGGTTGTTGGTATGTGTGGATGGCTGAGAAATGAACTAAAATCAATTTGTTTTTGTTCTCTATGAATTTTCTTTTGTTTTTATGTTGTTAAATTAAAGGCGTGAAGGTATTGATCAAATAATGGCAAAAATTACAATTTCTGTCACAAAATGACGTCGACCACATTTATTTTGTTATATAACTTCATTATATACAAATACTTCATTATATACAAATAGAATTATTGTTGCACAACTTTTAACATTTTTCCTTGCAAAAGAACCTTAAACACAGACTTTTGTAATGCTTGTGACCCGGGTGCTACAAATCAAGGTTTCAGGACCCTATTAATATAACATTCAAAGATTCGGGACCCAGGTGAAATTTAGCCCTTATTTTTATGGCATTCGGAGCCCATCGATTTAGACTCATTTTCGATCGCCGCCTTGGCTTATCTCTCTACAAACGCCATCGTGCTCTCTCTCTCTCTGGAAGCAACGTCGCCGCTTCTCCCAATCTTTATCTGCTGCAGTCTGATACATTCGTCGGTAAGACCTTTCTAAAGAATTACACAAGAATTGCTAGAGATAAAAGGGAAAAGTGATAATACTCTATTTTATTGGTAACTTACCTCCGTCCTTTTTTGTTCGTGTTCCGCGGTTACGTTTCTCAATTGTTAAAAAACAAAAAGTGAGGTGCTGTAATTGGTTACACACTGTTTTGGGGTTTAGATTTGGTATTAATTACCAGATCTGGGTTTGGATTCAACAGTAAAAATATCTGTTCTTGCTGCGTGGTCTAGGGTTTTTTTCTATTCAAAAATTGGGGGTCTGATTTTTCTGAGTTGGGTTTTGGGTTTTTGATAGAAAACCCCATTCTAGGCGATTAGTCTGATTGCATAAGGGTTGTATTTGTTATATTTAAAGGAACACGAGCACCCTTATATATATGGCAGCTGGAAGACATGGGGGTTACAGAGACAATGAATTCAGGGACCGAGAGACGGATTTAGGGATGTCAAGGAAGGAGGTTGGGCATCTGAAAGGTGATTGTGAGCTGATCAGGGAAGATGATCCAGATTACGGGGTTGGTCTGCATCGAGTTCTAGAAAGTAGGGATTTCAGGGGTAGGGTCAGGCAGAAGGATATTAAGGAACGGGAGGCAATGAATGGTGGATATCACTCTACTTCAAGTCGGAGTCAATCGGGTAGTAGTGATGGTGGTCCGAGGAGATGCGGGTTAGCGGTTCAGGCCATGGACCGAGAGCCTGGGGAGCTGTCTAGTGATGGGTCTGATGGGGCAATTGATTCAGAAATGCGGTCTAATAAAGAGTTTGAGGCTAAGAAGTTAGAAAATGGAAATCACTCCTTCCCCTTGGAGAATAAGAAACGTAAGTTTTCACCAATTGTTTGGGATATAGATGATAGGGAAGTAAGCCGAACAGTCAAGAATCAGAATATCACTGAAACCACTAATTTACCACCTCCGCCTCCTTTACCCAAGTTTTACAACCAGTCACCTAAAAATATCTGTGATGGGGATGTGGAGATTTTACCTAGAGATGACAGTAAGATTCGGAGTTTGGAATCATCATCTCCTAATATTGACTCGCTGACTGAATTGTTGA